TACCAATGGCCAACCAAGATCATGCTAAGGCCTCAACCAGGGTCTGCTGAAGTCAGAATGGCGCAATTGCAAGACCCCCCGCGTTCCAAGGTGTTGAATCGTGGAGAGTTGGTGGATACTGGCACACAGACAGAGGAAGGCCCCCCCAGTGACAATCAGGATGGATGTCGCCACACAAGTCAGCGAAAGTCAACTAGACAGTCCAGGATGTAATCCTGGTGATGGCGTCACCCTGGATGGTGACCGAGGTGATACTTTTGTGGATGTACCTCCAGAATGGACTAGGAAATCCAGGGCGGCGAAACGCTCGCACCCTGAACAGGATACTTCAGGATCTTCCCCAGAACCAGCGTCCTGGACCCCACTCGAGAAGTTGGAGATGGAATACGAACGCTGTATGAGGGTTAGCGCGGAGGACCTGGACTTGGAGCCAGGAGTGTATATACATGAAGGGAGCGAGACGATGGCACAATTGCGGGACCAGTTGGTCATGCTACCAGAATTGAGCGAATAGCACCCAGAATGCGACATCGATCAGGCTGATGTGGGAGTCCCAGGTGAGACCTCCCCGAAGATGAATCCAGGATGCGTGCAATCCTGAAGCGCCATAGGAAGATATTCCTGGGTGATGGAAATGCCGTTCCTGCTCCCGCTAGAGGAGTGGTATGTGACCTCGATGTAGGAGATGCCAAACCTATCACGTTGCGCCCAAGGTCAATTGGACCACACGTGGCAGTCAAGGTATACGAGCTCCTCAAGAAATTGCTCGAGAACAATCTGATTGAACATTCTGAAGCGCAGTGGGCATCCACGATCGTGATCGTGCTCAAGCAAAATGGAGTGGACATCAGGATGTGTATTGACTATCGACTTGTGAATAATTTCATCGAGCTGTCTAGCTATCTGCTACCCCTCATCGACGACTTGCTAGTCGGTTTCGAGAAGGCACTCTGGTTCATGAGCCTGGATATGGCCAGCGGCTTCTGGGCGATCAAGATGACTGAAAGAGTTAAGTTGATTTCGGCCTTCGTGTGTCCGTTTGGACATTTTCAGTGGATTCGAATGCCATTTGGTCTGAAAAACGCACCCCTGATCTACCAGCAAGTGGTCAACAATTGCCTGTGGGGTTTCGTGCGTCTACCACCAGAAGAGGAGGCGGAAGTCGACCAAGAGGTTTTGGATTACCTGGATCTGGATCTCCAGGACGATGGACCTCCAGGGCGTGGTACTCCAGGGTACACCGGTTGTGAAGACGACCATGTCCCTCGGGCGTTGCCGACCCTGGCGGACCAAATGACAGTGTTCAAAAGGAACACCCCTGCTCCAATCCAGATGTCACCTGTCCTAGGGCGCAGCTCTTATATCGATGATATCGCGCATGGCGCACCAACTTGGGATGCGTTGTGCGCTGACTTAGATGCTTTGCTATATAGGCTGCGATATTGGAATATTTCAGTAAGTCTGCCGAAGAGCGAGTTTGGAAAACTGTCCATCCCATATGTGTCACATGAGATTAGCGCTGAAGGGATCAGGGCAACACCGAAGATCGCTAAGGGGGTTCAGGATTTACCGTTCCCAACTACCTTGAAGGGGGTGCAATCTTTCTTGGGCAGCCTGAATTACTATCATAAATTCATCGAAGACTACACCGTGGTTGCAGCCTCCCTGTATGAACTCTCAGACGACCAAGTGCGTTCAGGGCGAGATCTATCCAGGGCAAAGCAGGCGTTTGAAATCCTGAAGCACAAGATCGTGTCGACCCCGGTATTGAGGCACCCTGACAGGACCGAACCATTTGTCGTTATACCCATGCAAATCAATGGGCTGCCTGTGCGGTCCTGGGCCATGCCATGACGGTTTGATCCAGCCTGTGCGTTTTACGGGGCGTGTTCTCCACGATGCGGAATTGAGGTATCA